TACCAAATCTTCTCTGATTAGCAGTAATACGATGCAACAAGGAGGATGAAGCAGAGAAGGAGCTCGTCTGAGAATAGCTGATAAGAAAAACCCTGGCCATATCGGTTACTAGAGAGTGCGCTAAAAATTGAGAAACTTAAAAAGCAAAAGGTTTGCCGTTTTTGATTTTGGCGGAAAACTAAAAAGTTTTAGGCCACAACTCACGCACCTTATTGGTAAAATAATATTTATTGCAAACAAAAAGAATTTATTGTTGCCAATTATATTTATATTTTAAATTATTATATTAAAAGTTCTATTTTTTGCAACAACTAAATTAGTTGTTGCTATTTATTAAAATTCGGCAACAATTCCATAGTTGTTGCTAGAACATTTTTAAAATTTAAAGTTTATTATTTAAACCATAGAATATGGCAACAACTTTAACACGCTTGCCAACAATAAAATTTTGTTGCCAAAAAGTCTATTCTATAGAACAAATTTATCGAATTGTTCTATTTATCCATTTTTGCCAACAATATTTCAGTTGTTGCTAAAATATTGTTGCAAATTCCATACTTTCTTGTAGTGCCTATTTATTATTGTGGAAGGGAGGAGTTATGATAAGAACAAACTCTTTCTGACCAATCAAATTGAAGTGTGACATGACCGTATTTGATTGGCCAGAACATGTCACTTGTACACGTGGCGCAGTTTCATTGGCCTTTTGATTTGGTTTGGCATGCCTTGTCATTTTGACACGTGGCACGATCCTATTGGCTCTTTTGTTTGACTTGGCGTGCCACGTCATTTGACACGTGGCACCAAACTGGGCTTCTAGGAAGATGACATATTGGGCCTAATGAAGTGGGCTCGTCACTTGGCCCAACTAAATGGGCTAACCCAATGGATTAAGACTTAATTATTTAATCCATATATATTGGATTTATATAATTAATTCAATTATATTGGTCCATAATATTTATTTGGACCAATATATCTTGAATTTAAAATATAGTCCAAATTATTTTGTGAATTTAATTTTAATAAAGTTTATATGCCTACAAGTGCATTTTGAAGAAACTTAGTAGGCGTTTGGACATAATAATTGTAAGTTTTGGAAAAAAATAATATTTGGAGTTAAGCTGAAAAATGATATTTAGAATTTAAAATTATGTTTGCACATGCATTTCTGTTATGAATCAAGCTATTGGGCTTAGAAGAACTATTGGGTCGAGAAGAAGCCACAGGGCCAGAAGACCTTCAAAAAGATTAATTTGGGATCCAGGCCCAAGAAGTGCAATAAGGAATCAGTTAAAAGGGACTAGGCGTGAACACAGATAGGAGAGGCTGAAAATATTGTAGAAACTTCCGTCTCTCTGGTCTCTCTCCCCCACTATTTCTCTCTGTGGCTCTGTCTCCCTCATCTCCTTTCTTTCTGTTGCTATTTTCTTAGCTTATGATTATATCCTTTGTATTTCTATTGTAATTAGTTTACTTGGAAGTTTAATCGAGGCATCGTCTTGTTGAGTTCATAACATTGGTGCTTTCATCCATCGGACTCCAATGGAGGTACTAGATCGATTCAGCGGCAGCGGCAACCCAGAGAGTTGGCTTTTTCGGGTCGAAGGATACTTCATTTACCTTGGCTTCGCCGAGAAGGATTGGTTACCTCTTACTTTCTTTTACCTCGATGGTGAAGCTCTTAATTGGTTCAATTGGTTGTTTCGGAACAAGCAATTTTTTGATTGGACGCATTTCAAAGCGAAATTTGCTCACCACTTTCGACAACAAACTGCCATATATTCGGTAGTTGGTTCCTCATATGTTAGTTTTGACTACATTGATACTGTCCCTATAGTTTCACAATCAACTATGGTGTCTCCTTTTCCTATTTCGAGCCTTTTTCCGAAGACATCAACATTTGAAACAACTTATGAAACTGAAAACTCAAAGGCGGACCATATGTTCGATAAATTGCCAGTGAAGTATGAAAAATTAGATTCCTTGACATTGATTACTGGAAGCAGTACTGAGATTGTCAATCTTGAAGATATAGAAGCACCTCAAATTTGGAATGCAAATTCAGTAGAGGTAGTGGAATCGGTACAGGAACTTTGTGCTATCACTGAAGATCATGTGCTCGACGAAATTTCACTCGTCGTAGTAAGCTCTGACATTCATGATCTTAATGCTCTTGTCCACGAGGGAAACAGTTCTGTTACTACAGTCTCCACAGTTTGCAACGATAGCTGCTATGCAAATGCCAGCTTCCCAACCAAAGTTCATACGATGTTAGATGATACCACCAGATCTGATGATGGGGAGGAAGAAAATTCACGAGATTCTACTATGACTGGGGTGTTTGACAAATTTCCTCAATGGGATACATTGGATTTCCTGGTTTTTACTAGCCAAGGAATTGTGGTGTCGAATGCGAGTGTGAGCTTTGACGTAATAGATTTTCCATTTAATGGTACCCTATGGTTTGACACAATTCCATGGTTGAGTAGTTATCTTGAAGAAATTGGCGGGGCTAATCAAAATCAGATATCGCTTTTTGTCTTACACAAACGCAATTGGGTTGATACTGGGCAAGTGTGCAATTTTTCCGGATTCTTGTTATCTAAATCCAGAGAGATTGCTAAGGAACAAAAAATACAGCGAAGGCTGCAGGTATTAGATGACAGTTACTCCAAGCAATCACCGCATGTTCGGGTGGAAAAAGCTGCTGGACTCTTATTTTCTCTGTTTGGACTAGTTCATAAGGCAAGTTATGTGGACAAGTGATTCGACACTCTGCAGGTATTTAAGGTTGCTTTGGGTAGAGTTGATATGAGTGTTGCACACAATGGTAATTCCATAAAATCTTGCGCGATGTACACGTTACTGGGGGAGTCTTTAGAAAATTCATTTATGTGTTCTGTTGCTGATGCTACTACTACAATTGAGGAGCAATACATAATTGATCAGCTGAGGTCTTTTTTGAGTGGAAGGACTCTTGAGCTAAGTGTGTTACACCATGCTTTAACTTTCATAATGGTGGTACCGATTAATGAAANTTCACAAGTTCTAGATGTTGTTTACCATTTCTTGCTGGACAGTCTAAACTACTATCGCCTCAACTTGACTTGGATTGCTCCATGCTAGGGTGATACCTGTTTTTTTCCAGCTTACAATCATGATCAACTTCTGCACATAGGTTACAATCATGAGCAGCTTCTACACAGGAGTCAATTTGATCCCATATATGAACTTGGTCATGCTGAATTTCCATTTTCTTTGCTCCACCATCCACCTGATGAATCCGGATTAGACTTTCCATTCGACCCTGGTTCTAATTTTGTTTTTACCACCTTTTATGGTGCTACAAGAAATTGTGCATTCTGGACTGCCTCTGGTACGAGTCCTACCAAGTTCATGCCCTCAAATGTATGGAATCTTCTTGAAATACCAATCTGCGACATTATTGTTTGGACTATAGTCATATTTGGCTATATTTTGGATGGTGATTTTTCTTATACTGCTGAATTTCTTGCTGACATGAGACAGAAAGGGGGTTGCATTTTTATAAGTTTTGATTTAAATTATCCATTTGGCATCTTAACTGTAGTTTTACAACTTGCACGCAGACAATTGTTCGAAACAGAGAATGTACATAATGATGCACTACTCAAGATCGTAGGTGCACTTGCTGAAACTTCAGTTCATTACACTGCACCAGTCCATGTTGTTTCTGTTATTCCTTTGGCGCTGACTTGTGGAGAGCGTGCTACCATCTTTCTCGAGCTTAAAAAGTCAATCCCGAACAACCTTGTTGAAGTTGCTAGGACAAGGATCGTGGAATTTAGTGAGGTACTTGCTGGTGTCAATGTTGAACGTTGTGTGTTGGAATCTCATGCTAGTTGTTCTTTCACGGTTACGAGGCGTGGATTTTGTGACGATCTTGGCAAGGGCACAAAAACTACAATAATTAAGTCAACAGTGGAACACCAGGAAGGTGTGGCAACTTTTGTTGACATTTTTTTCAATTATGATGCATTTATGGTAGCACAATTGCATATGCATAAAGGCACTGATGGCATTTTCTCAGACACATACAAAAGGATGTTGGACTTGGATGCTGCCACGGTAAAACTTACATTTTCCCTTAGCGAAGTAGACTTTACAGTACATTTTACAAGGGAGTACTCCACATCTCTTTTGGAAATGAATTCTATTGATGAGCAGAACCTATTTGATGGCGTTTATATACTTAACTTGAACCTTGAGGACAAGGTTCTTTCTGAGGACGCGAGTATTGTTATGAATTAAGCTATTGGGCTTAGAAGAACTATTGGGTCGAGAAGAAGCCACAGGGCCAGAAGACCTTCAAAAAGGTTAATTTGGGATCCAGGCCTAAGAAGTGCACTAAGGAATCAGTTAAAAGGGACTAGGCGTGAACACAGATAGGAGAGGCTGAAAATATTGTAGAAACTTCCGTCTCTCTGGTCTCTCTCCCCCGCTATTTCTCTCCGTGGCTCTCTCTCCCTCATCTCCTTTCTTTCTGTTGCTATTTTCTTAGCTTATGATTATATCCTTTTTATTTCTATTGTAATTAGTTTACTTGAAAGTTTAATCGAGGCATCGTCTTGTTGAGTTCATAACAATTTCACTTGAAAAAGTGTTACAGTTTTGTGAGTGGAGAAAAGATTTTTTTGAAAGTTTTAAAAAAGTGGTTAATTTCTTTTCAAAAACTTACAAAATTTAGCGGACAAATACATTTTTGATGAAAAAAAACTCATGAACAAAAGGGTCCTTATAATATCCAAAATACGAAGGCACACGTCTTTATATTTTTGGACTGTCAAAATATCAGCCAAAAGAAAGGTAGAGAGTAGGGTAAATGTGATAAAGCTAAAGTAGGATCATCTGACACCCGTGCCAGTTGCCACCGACACCCCTTACTTCCATTTTCCTAAATTCACACTCCAAACACAAAAAAACCCAACTCTTCAATCCATTCGACAGAAGAAAAAAAAATGGCGATTTCAGACAAAGTAACAGGAAATTTAACAACGTTGTACCTAGCAATGATAGGTGCAGTGAAGGCCTACGGATTAATGACTGGTAGAAACTTCAGTGGTTGTTTCGTGCTGTTTTTTTCGACAGCTGCAGTTGTTGTGGTCTTGATTGCAAGTTTAACGTGGGATATATCTCTCAAGGCAAGAAATGCTATGACTCGTGATGATCATCCTCAGGTTTATCAACATGGTCATGAATTTTGTCGTGGTGGCATCTGCTGGCACGGCGTCGCCGTCAGTTCCCCGGCGTCTCAAGTCCGTTTCCAGCTTCCTCAGAACCGTATCTAAAACAAATTCAGCATTTAATTAAACGATGTGAGTTTTGAATTGAAAATGTCCGTTCTGAAATATCTATTGAATACATAGTATTATATATATACATAAAATTCGAATAGGAATTAAGTCGTGGATTCTGTCAAATGGGGCAATTATTGCAGTGAATCGGCATTATATAAGTTTGCAGAGTGGTGAAAAGATGTTACTAACTTACTATAGCAGTAGTACTTCTTTTTTCTTTTCCTATGATATATAGCTGTATATGGTTAAAATCGGGTCCTCAGAGTCATCGAAAAGGAATCTTACAAACTTGGCACGATAAACGGCGTACAATTGCTAAATAATTAGAACATATCGCTCCTTAAACGATACTACTGCTAAGGTATGACTCTTTCCTTTTTTTCATTTATATTTGATACTAACTTATTGCAGGTGTTCGGTCGAAGACTTCGAGAAGTTCTTCAACACAAAGACCTCAGGTTTTAAAGCACGCGTTGCACTCTTTTTCCCTTAGATCGATTATTGTCCAAATGGGTTTTTCCCGCGAGGTTTTTAACGAGGCAACAATTATTTGTGCTACTTGGGGACAATTCAACGGTATCCTAGGCTTCCTTACAATCAATCTCGAATACTGGGGAGCATCACCCTCGGATGTTATGTTTTCAAGGAAAATACTTCGTGTCGACAAGGTCTCGATAGGTAAATTTTGTAAAGGGCCAAACGGTCAAATGAACCATGCCCGTATAGATTACTCGAGCCCTAATGGCAAAACATGTACGCATGAACAATCTATTGAAAGAAGTACCTTTTCCCTACCAAATGTTACATGCCTTAGTAAAATTTCTACTTTACAATTTCATACTTACGATCTATTGTGGAAACCGACTAAAGCTCGAGCAATTAATCCCGTACTCGGGGACTGTCGATCGAAAATCGACATACTCGAATTACTAGACTTCGAAACCATAAGACCTTAAAAAGGCAATCCTCGATTTTATAGGCCATGGCCACCCCATTCGAGAACTGACACTTTGAACAAGTTCGAAGTATAAGCGAGAAACAAGCCCAAAGGGCAAATCTCAAGTTAAAGGCTACGACCAAACTAACACGGTTTGGAGACGTCCGAATTCAGTAATCAAACAGGCCTTCAAATATTTTAATAAAACCGGTTGAAAAAGGGCTACCCTCGACAAATTTACATAGGGCTTCGGTAACATCGACCCTCGAAAACCTTAAGAGGTATCAAATTGTTCGAACTCTCGAACAAACTTATGCTAAGGCATAACAAAGTTTTTCGATAACAATGAATCCTAATGGGTACAGATTTATCTCGTGCTAAGGCATAACAAATTTTTATATGATTAAACTTTTTAAGCCAAAAGAGGGGGGGGAAAGCCATTCTTTTAAGGCCATATGGCCCAATTCAAGAGCCCAAGGGCCATTGTATTTGTGAGTTCGAGAATCCACCCTCACTCAATTAAAATTTAAGGGTTTTTTTTGCTTCGAGTTCGAGCAAATACTCACTTGATTATAGAGACTGCACTAGTCCAACTTCAATCAAGTCGCTTAAGTTTCGGGTTCACAAACAAATTTTATGCAAGACAACGAAGCGAGTCAAAACCCTCTCAGGATATAAAGTATATCAAAATTATTATAAGGCAAAAAGCAAAACAGAGTTTTCACAATTCACAAAACAGAAATCAGAGACAAATCGGAAACAAAAGGGATCTTTCATATACGCAAAAATATTACAAATACCACTCACGGTCTTACAAAAAAAATCCAGAAAAGAAGAAAAAATTCTAAGTGCTTAATCTTCCCCGGGAGCCTCATCTTCATCCCCTCCACTCTCGGATCCACTTGAGATTTAGGAACCATCATCATCAGAGAGCAAAACTGTGGCTTCGGCCTCTAACACTTTCACATTCTCGATATCGGCAGTAAGGTCAAAACCACGAGCATGAATCTCTTCGAGAGTCTCTCTCCGAGATTGGCATTTGGCATGCTCGGCAACGCAGAATGATCGAACCTGAGCAGCATCAGAAATTTCCTTTGCTCGAGCGTGAGCGGCTCCAGCATCAGCTCGGTAGACGGCCATGACCGCCTCCGCGTCGGCCTTTACTCTTTCTGCCTCAGATGTGGCCTTTGCAAGCTTAGCAGCTAACCGAACCTCGAGCTCCTCAATTTTCTTGGCTCGGGCCAAGCTCTCCTCGTTCATGCTTTGGAGTTGACGTTCGGCCGAAGATAGCTGGGCTCGAGCAGTGTCTTTCTCCGAGGCAAGGCGGTCCATGTTTTTCTTCCACCCCAAGGTCTCAGCCTCCTTCATCTTGGCCTCCTCGTAAAGTTGCTCGATCTTTTCGGCCTTCTGCTGAACCTGCAAGATTGAAGTGTTAGCCGACGTCTTCGGATTAATAAAACGAGCCTCCAAAAAATTACATACCTGCTCAATTAGGTCGGTTTGCCCTTTGTGAGCTGTTTCCAATTCGGCTCGGAGGTCCTTGATCTCCTCTTCTTTTTGCCCAATAAGAAGTTTTAGGGCATCACTCTCCTCCGTAAGCTTTATGAGATCGGCCTCACACCGGTCCAGCTCTTCCCGGGATTTAAAAAACGCCTCCCGATGGAGCGTCAAAGCCTATGAAGAAAGAAAGAAAATCAGACAAGAGGAAATAAAGACAAAGATAATACTGACAAAGGGAGCTAAGGCACACCTGACTCAGAAGTCGATGGGCTTCATCGAAGATACTCGATGCATCACCCAGATCGGAAGTATCTTCAACCCCCGTGAAGCAGCCACGGAAAAGGTCTTCCCCTTCGTGGGCAGTTCCCACATCAAGGGTCCCGATGGCCTGGGCTTCGTGAATTTGCCCCTCGGAAAATGTTGGTAGGGGTGAGTCGCTAATGTCTATTGCCCCAAGGAATCACTTGGGGCGTTCTCTTCGTTTTGAAGGGCCTCAGAACTAGCCCCTTCAAGTACATCCACCGGTTGCCCATCACGGCGGGTGGCATCCTCAGCCTCCGATGACTTGGGGAATTTGCTCGGGCCATCTTCTGAGATCCCCTCGGTCCGAGGTTGAACCTCTTTGGTCATCATCGGCTCGGCAGCCTTTGGGACCTCGGCGCTCCTCTTTCGAGCCACCAGCTCGCAGGTGACATCTTCATTCTCCTCTTCTTCATCTCGTAGCTGTTGAACTACATTCTCAGACAGGGCGGCGACATCTTGCTTTGACTTGCGAGCCTTGTTCTTTTTAGGCTTTGGAGTATTGAAAGGCGAGACCCTTTTCCTCTTCTTATCCTTAGCCGGCTTCGGGGCCTCCTCTTCCCCAAGTGGGGGCGGCCCCATGACAATATTGTCTTCGAGACCTGTATGGAAGGAAATCAAGTAAAGAAGAAATATTTTAGAGAAGGGCATCAAACACGGATAGAGAAGCTTACCGTGATTTTTGGCCTCCCATCGGCCGTTTGCCAAATCGCGCCACGAACGCTCAACGTACGAAGAGGTCGATGCCAGTTTTTGAACCCAGCCTTCAAGGTTCGGGATTGCACCGGGCACCCAAGAAACCATTGCATCATAGGAGAGGATGTCAATACGAAAAGGCGAAAGAAACAAAACGGTAAACAGAAGCTATAGGTGGGTTTGTACTTTCGCTTCATGTTCCACTCTTCAGGGAATGACATCTTCTCGACCGGAATTATGTTGGAAGTCCTCAATCGGACAAACCGGCCCATCCATCATCGGTCCTTGTCCTCATCTATGCTCGAGAAAAGCACCTTGGTGGCCCGACGCTGAAGCCTTATTAATCCGCCTCGATAGAGACGGGGGCTGTACATTCTAATGTGATGGTCGAGGGTAAAAGGCATCCCCTTGACTCTTCTCACGAAGAATTGAAGCAAAATAACAATGCGCCAGAAGGAAGGATGGATCTGGCCCAGGGTTATTTGGTATTAGCGGCAGAAATCGAGGATAACGGGGTCAACGGGACCCAGCGTAAAAGGGCAAGTGTAAACACTCAAGAACCCTTTCACGTGAGTGGTGATGTCCTCTTCAGGGGTCGGAATCACCACCTCTTTGCCTTCCTAATGGCAATCTTTTTTCGCCTGCTTCAGGTCACCCTCAGTTATCGAGCATATGTATCTCGACATCGGCTCACATCGGCCAGGGACCGACGAGGGTTTCTCGATCTTGAAATCGGAAGTGAGATCGCACACCCCGGGAACGCACTCCTCGATGCGTGGCTCCACCGGCATCGCCGGCCGGCCGCGATGAAGAAGCTTTCTCCTTTTGAGGAACGGCTTTGGATGTTTTTGCCATTTTGGAGTAGATTCAAAGAAAGAAGAAGATGAGATTTATAGTTCTGAAGAAAGATTGGTAACGAGGCCTAGAAATTGCGCGAGAACAGAGAGGCTAAATGAGATGTAGCTTTAGGGACTTGCAGAAAAACTTGAAAAACTCAGAAGGATTTTGAATATTAGTACAAGAAAATTTCAAAGTAAAGTTTAAAGAAGTAAGAAGAAGACCTATTTAAGGATTTACGGCGACGGTTCGAGGGCACTAATGGCCGACCATCAAGTGACGCTAATTAATGATCTTGGGAACCGTACCGACGCGACGCTTTGGTCGTTTCTGTCGCTTACGTCACAAGAATGACATCATAATTGGTTGAAGTATAAAATCGAAGGCTCAGTTCATTTCTTCTCATTACACTCCAAGAAACGAGGGGACTATCTGTATACGGTTAAAATCGGGCTTGCCCGATTTTGCTATTTAATCGAGACCAGGGGATCACGTCGAGGGTCAGCCTCACAATGGATCGGGTTATAGTACAAAGACGAGGTGTCAAGTTCAAGAATCGAGGTGTCCGTCAAGACCGAAGCCATCAGCAATCGAGACTATTTATGACCGACTTCGAGTGAAGTACAATAACGAAAAGGCAAGATATTCGTAACCGGTCGAAGATCGCAGAAATCCTGGAACAGATCAAACCAAAGGCGGTTATTTGTACCAATCATGGAAT